TTTTTTTTTTTTTTTTGGTACTGGTGATCTAACTTGGGACCTTGAGCTAAATCCCCAGCCCAAGTGAAAATCTTTATACCATGAAGCTTTGTTTAAATGAGGTTGGAATGAAAATATTGCACAAAGTTACCATCAGGCTGTGTGTATAAGGTATACATAAAATCTAATATTGTGTTTAGACTTGGGTCCCATCTCCAAGATATCTCATATGTATACAAATATTCCAGAAATGGAAAAACTCAAAATCCCAAACATTTTAGATGAGAAATCACTGGAACAGCCTGTAGTAAAACACTGAGCATTGTTTGTCTTACTTTTCTTGTTGCTGAGACAAAATACCTGACACCCACAAGTTAAAGTAGGAAAGGTTTATTTAGCTTACAGTTTGTAGCGATTTAAATCCATAGGCCTCTGGCTTGACAGCAGGGCCACATGGCAGAGGGACATCACCGAGGAGAAATAGTTCATGGTATGGCAGGCAGAAGACACTGGAGCACCAAGCAATGCAGTGAACCTTCCTCCTTTCTGTCTCTTTATTTCCATCCAGGCTGCAAGCCTGTTGATTGGTGCTATTCACAATCAGGGTGGGCTTCCTTTATCTACACGGAGAACTATGCTGATTTAGTTATCACACACCTTTAATCCCAGCATCACATACCCTAAATCCAGCTACATCCAAAAGGCCCCACCTATGAGCACATGAGGCTTTGGGGGGTCATCTAGATACAAGCTGTAAGCTGGCCTGAACCCTCTCTGCACATCACCCCTATGAAGTGGGTACTAGCACTCAGCCAGCAAGTAGTAGAAGTGGGTTTCCAACCCAGGGCAGTCAACTCCGTACCCAGCCCAGGTCTTCAAATCAGAGGTGTCTGATTGCAGTTCAGTTACACAACCATGGGTGGCAGATTGGAGGGTAAACATACCTATCTCAAAGGGCTGTTGTGCTTATGATTACTTCTGAATAAAGAATTTGAGCAGTTACTGGGCTTCCTGGTACAGTACCAGCATGAACTCTAGAGCACTTGGTAAGTACTCCTCCTGGCCCTGAGCTTACAACCCGGCTTTGTGACCATGGCAAGTCATCTAACCTCTGAGTTTTACTTTATCTGTAAAATGAGAAAGAATAATAATTCTTACCAGTTGCTGTGAATCAAATGGGATAATACTGATGTCTGACAAATAAGCCTCGTATTAGTCAGCTTTCCTGATTCTGGAACAAAACGCCCAACACTCAGAGGAGAAGTTTATTTTGATGTAGTCCATGGTCAGCTGTTTCCAAGGCAGAAATGGCGTGGCAGAGGGCATAGTGGAGGAAGGGTACTCAGGCCCTAGCAGGCAAGAAACAGAGAGGAGGAGCTGGGAGGGAGATACTGCACACTACACATCACACCATTGATCTGCCTCCCCTACCTCCTAACAGCAGCAGCTGAACACATGACGGAAGGAATCCACTGATGAGTACAGCGCCATGATCCAAACACAAAACTTTTAGGGGACATTTTAGAACCGAACCATAAAAAGCACTTAATGAAGTTTTGTTGTAATAGTTTTCATTTCTCCAAGGTACCTTGGGAAATTAGAGTCATTTTAAAATAAACACTTATTTCCAGTTTGAACCCTGGAAACTAGAAACACCAGAAGCCCTGCATTTGTCAGAAACCCAGCTTTGGGAAGGGCCCATTCAGTGCTGATGTTTCTTCATGGTTTCTGTCCTTAGAAGCCTACAATGGGCACCCCAGCCTCTGTGGTGAGTGAGCCACCCCTGTGGGAGGTTCCCACTGAGGCCCGGGGCCGCAAGCAGGCCTCAGCCAACATCTTCCAGGATGCCGAGCTATTGCAGATCCAAGGCCTATTTCAGCGCAGTGGGGACCAGCTGGCCGAGGAGCGGGCCCAGATCATCTGGGAGTGTGCAGGAGACCATCATGTGGCAGAGGCCCTGAGGAGGCTGCGCAGGAAAAGGCCCCCCAGGCAGAGGCCCCTCCTCCCATCACTGCATCACTGCAGCCAGCTCAGGTAGGTGCCTGGGGCAGGGGGGCTAAAAGGGCCATTTGTGTGGCTGCTCCACCACCTCCTGGCTGTGTGACCAGGAGGCGCATACTTGGGCTTGTAAAGTGCCTCCTGTCGAGGCGGAATAAAGTACACACTGTGCCACCACTTATTTGGCACCTAAGACTGCGATTACTGTTGGGATCATGCAGTCCTGTGAATTTCAGTGGGAAGAGTGGTGCTTCCTCTCTTCAGAGCCTTGTTTTGCAGGGACTCCTGACCAGATGGGAGTACTGTTTGGGAGAAAAAAATGTTTACTGTATAGAGTGGGTAACTCAAAAGCAAGCCTGCAGGCTAGAGATTTAGCTCAGTGGCACAGCACCTGCCTGGGCAAGTGTGAGGTTCTGAATTCTATCCCCAGTACCAAAAAAGAAAAAGCAAGCCTGATTAGGCTTGGCTATGAGAATGCAGAGTCTGACATAGGAATGTCCAGCACAGGCATCTTGAGTTACAAGTTCCAGCAACTTTTACCTTTAGAAAGCATCTCTGCCCAGTGTCCCTAATCATCCAGCTTTGCCTCAAGTCACTGCCCAGCCAGGCCCAGGGACCCAGCTGAACTAGTAAACCCTTCTCCACAGGCTACTTTCTGGTCTCCACTTCTCCACTGCCTTCTCTGGAGCCCATCAACCTGAACAGGTCATCAGGTCTGGGATGGCACATAGCTTTGCTTGTAAAAACTCTAGTTACTTAGTCTCTGCTTAGAGTACTAGTGTCATACATGACTGATGGTGTCTGCCATGGGTACAAGATGAAGCTGAAGACACAAGAGTGTCTCATCCCAATCTATCCAGCCCTCCTTACAGTTGAGATACCAGAAAGCTTTGCTAGTCACGCAGAGACAAGCCCTGGTCTCATTTTGCCCCAAGCAGTGTTTTACGGTATACCAAGACCCATCCTGTTCTCCCTGTTGATGTTGGCGTATCATGCACTCATTCCCAACAGAATCCCGGAGCCCTGCTCTCTACCTGCCAATCCACAGAGCAGTGCCACAGAGACAACCTCCAGCGAGCAACAGCAGAACTCCAGGAGGACAAGTACCAGGACCAGGCGGAGCTGGAGAAAGCCTAGCCCCACAGGCTACCTTCACCAGATCAGACACTGATCCAGGGAAGAGGCCAAGAATGGCAGGATCTTCCCTAGAAGTCATGGGACTTCTGCCAAAGGGCCTGGGGAAGTGAAGAGGGGAGACTGGAGCAGGCAGCCCTACACAGGCAAATGAAAGGAAGATGCCACTGCCTGCTCAACAGAGAACAGAACTGCACTGTCCACCGGTCTATGCACTACATGTCACACTGTCAACAGAGGGACACAGCAACTGTTCCTGTCTCAGACCTTGACCTAACATTATATGGGCTGCATGTCTCCCTGGGAGTCAAGTGACAGGCACTCAGACATAGCATCTCACCACTCGTCACTAACCAACCCACTGGCTTATTACTGCCACTCAGAATCGGCAGCCTGTGTCACTCCCATGTCAGGCCAGCATGAGGAAACCACAGTTTAAGTGGCAAATAAAAACATTTGCATTGAGAACCCTGTGAGTCTGTCACAGAAGGGGAGAATCCAAATAGAATGGAGGCAGAAGGGAAGTTTCCTAGGAAGGAGAAATCAGGACTGGACTCTTCTGGATCCTCACCCCCATGTCCTGGAGCCCCTGTGCTGTAGCCTCCTGCAGAGGCTGCTGGGTGAGAGAAGGGGGAAGCCGTACGCTCAGCCCCACACAATAGGCAGTGGGTGCTTGGTTGAATCTGTAGTCTTAAGTAGTGAGTGCCAGCACTTCAGGGGCTTCTTACAGGTACCCCATCCTAAGGTAGGGCAAGAGTGGGGCAATCATTCTTAAAGACCTGTGATATGCTAGGTTTACAATGAGGTAAAGGCTTTTCCCCACCGTTTTGGCTTCCCCTCAAAAGAAACATAACTATGCGCTCATCCACATTACTTTCCTCTCCCTACTCCTACTGCTTAATTCCCCAGCACCTCCCAAGCCAAGGTTCATTCGGCCAGTGATACTAGGGTGTAGCTGCCCTCTGGTGGCCAAGAAGAAAAGCCACGCCCACTTAAGTATATGTCCACATCTTTTCCTAGACCCTTGTGGCTAGATGATTTGGAATACAGAATTGTTTTTGGCTTTTAGATAGTCAGAGTCAGTCCCTAGCAGGGGAAAGTATCATGAGGTTAGCACTTCTTCCATAAATACACTCAGAGGATGCATGAGTAGCAATAGTGTCACATCAGTATAAGCTTGGGTCAGACTTTGTAAGGAACTGAAAATACTTAAGTTTTCAGAGGACTGGGACTTGGGAGAGGACCTGAGTCTTCCTCTGCTAAGGTTAGTGTCCTCAGGAGCTTGTGTCTTCAACTCCGTGGAAATAGGTTTCTTTGTCCCTAAAACTGCATTCTACCTTCTTTGTGTTCCTTCCCACAAAAAGAAATGGACAAAAAGGTCAGAACTGGATTTATTATTCATACATTTGCATTGATTTAAATATATTACATACAGTTTCTACAGTGCATTAGAACGATATGGGGCAGCAGCACTCAGCCCAGCCTCCACTCCCTGATGAGGGGATAGGCCTGTGGCTGCCAGAATGATGGGCCATTCTGGGAGCGCTACCAGAAGCTTGCCCTGGCACATGGGGTCCTTGACTCCTCTAAAATCCACATTCAAGGCAACCTGAGTTCAGGCTTCAAGGGAGGGAGACAGGCCAGGAAAGGATGCCCCGTACCCTTGCCCACCAGACCCGGGATGGGCTCCCTCTTACAGTGCTGGTCTAGAGCAGTACAGCGCACGTGTGGCTGGTGAAACACCAACCGCCTCTTCAGGCAGGAGCCTCGCCAACAGGATCACGACAAACCTGTCTGCGGGGAGTGACACATACCTGGGTAACCTACCAGATCCTGATTCAGAAGGCAAGAGTCTCACATACTGTGAGATGGGCCAGATGGGACTGTGAGGGCAGGGCACACAGGGGAGCAGTGACTTTGCCCATAGGCATGCATACCCAGTGCTCAGACTTCCTGTCAGCTGAGCGGAAGCCCAGGACAAGCTGGCTCCTGGGAACTGGAATGGATGGGGAGTGGCCTGGCCCAGGTGCTGGGAAGGCTGTAGGCCTCTGCTCTGCCTCCTGGATAGAGGAAGCCGGGTAAGCAGGAGACAGTCCTTACTCCCTTTCTTTGGTTGTTTTTCTAACTTTCAAAATAGTTTCTTTTCAAGGCTGATTGACCAGTCACAGTGCCAGAACTGCAAAGTGTCCATAGCACAAGAATACAGCTGCCCCTCAGCCACAGGTGGTGCCCTTTTTACTCCCTCCTGAGGCCACATCTTTGCTTTGGTGTAGAAAGGGCTCGAACACCTGGCAAAGGGGCAGGTGGGGGAAAAGACATATGGAAGCAAGAAGATGTACACTGAGCTGGGCAGGCACTGGGGACAGTATGAAGGTCTCTCCTTTGGGCCTTGCCTTTCTCAAGAAGCCAGGGAAAAACCAGCCCAGGGCAAGAAGCCAGGGAGCAGAGGAATAGGAGACAGAACACAAGTACTGTTGCTTCCACAAGTAGCAGTGGCAGCACATAAAGAAGTCCAAGGGCCAGATGTCCTATCCTCTAAGAAGCTGAGACTACTTAGACTCCTCAGAGACCTATTCTAGAACCTAAACTGAACTCCTAAGTCAAAAAAAGCTGGGAAAAAATACTTAAGAGCCACAGAAACAAATTAGAGAATTGTGGCCAAGGACTCACGAAGCAATGCTGGGATAAATTCCCCCAGAGATTACTTACAGCTCCCAGCATGCACAAGGCCATGTGGATCACCTTCACATGCTGGGTGTTAACCACCTATCAGAACAGCGGGGCCAGGGACTTTAGCTCAGTGGTGCTGCTGCCTGCCTCGCAAGCGCAAGGTCCCAAGTTTGATCCCTGGTACCAAAAAAAAAAAAAAAAACAGAACAGCATTCAGGCATGGTGGCACATGCCTATAATCCCAGCACTAAGGGAAGCTGATGCAGGAGCATCACAAGTTCAACTTGAAGTTTAGTGAGATCCTATCTCAAAAAATAAAAAGGGCTGGGGATGTAGCTCAGTGGAGTTTTGAGCCCCAGGACTGTGCGGGGGAACAAAAACAGAACTGATAAGATCAGCACTCCCACCTATGCTTGAGTGACTGGTAAGCTACAACCGGGCAGAACAGAGGTCCTGCAGATGTAGGTTCTGGGGGCCGCAGAACAAAAGCTGCCTGCCAATGGAAGCCAACTACCGCACTGATGGGGAAGCAGAGGAAGATTTGGCAAAAACTCAAGGAAGTGTGGTTTCTGTCTGTCCCAGCACAGTGAGCCACCCAGTGGTCCCGACACATCTCTGCTCCTGGAAGTAAGGAACTGCCAGGTACCTGAATGTCTGGGTATATGCAAATTTAAGTCTGAAATTAGTCTTTTTTTTTTTTTTTTTTTTTTTT